TCTTCCTCTGGAAAATTTCTTGTTTTTCTTTGTTTTGGGAGCTTGTTGAAGCCATCATGGTCTGCCTCTGTGTGATTTGATATTGACTGTTTTCTCTGAGCCATTAATAAGTTATTATATTTATTTATTTTATGTCTGCTTACTATGTCCCAGCTTGTTTTGTTTTGTTTCAGTATGCCCAAATAGGCTGCTCGTGTGAGCTAATTTGATTATTGGCACCTTTGAAGCTCTAACTTCCTGTCACCAGGTGGTTAGAGCTGTTACTGGGTATGTGAGCCCAGGAGTCTGTTTACTTTTCTTGTATGGATTCAGCTCAGGTGTCCAGGTAGTTGGTCACCAAGTATGTGGTGCAGGCTCTCACCTACAGTCCTAGACAGGCAGGGGTGATTGGTTAGGCACAGGTATCTGGCTGCAGTAGGGGGTCACATGCTGAGAAAGGCCAGGGGGCTGACAGCTGCCCAAGTGTCTGGGAGGAAAGCGTGTCCCTGTTCCCTAGAGCGTGTAGGTGGGTAGGTTTTACAGCTGGATTATGGGCACCCAGTGCTGTTGGCTTTAAAAAACTGGGAGGCACCACTTATTCTTGGACCCCTCTTGTGGGTGGCTAGGTGACGTGAGTGGGCTACCAGTCCGGAGACCCTTGATGTGGGTAGGTGAGGACCCTGCTTAATGAGCAGAGCAGTGTCAAATGTTACGAACCTACCACTCCACCATGTAGCTGAAACAGTTGAAGTTAGGCTTCAGGTATACACCCTGTTGTACTGTGGTAATGAGGGCCTACACAGTTGAAATGGGCCCACTTGGGTCTGTGCAGGTGTGAAAGGCATTCAGAGTCCGTGGACCCCTTATGCCTGTGCCTTGACAAAGGAGCTGTGCCTACCCTGAATTCCCAGCTTAGAGGAGCTGGCAGATTATTTTTTCCTGTTTGTTAATTTGTTCCTTCTCCAAGGCCTGGAGAATGGTTCAGGGCTCATGACGCGTCCTGCTTCTGGCCCAAGGGACTTGGCAATTGCTGAAGCTGGCCCGGGACCAGTGCAGAGCAGGGAGGGGCAGGTAAATGGGAGAGAGATTTTTCTCAAAGGGGATGTTTTTTGATCTGAGTGGTAGGTTAGACGCATGTACTTATCTTTTGCCAATTGAGTGCCGCTTTTCACTGGTTCTGGAGGCGTGAGTAGACTCTCCACCTCTAGGTCTCTCCTGATGTAGAAAATGCCTCCCAAGCACCACAGCTTGCTTCACCTAGTGTGCCCGCTGCAGGATGCCAGTTCCCGCTGAGTCAGATTTGGTAACTCCTCGCTGCTTCTGAACCATCTCTCCCTGCCCCTGCAGCTCAGTCCGATTCCTCAACTTTGCCTTTGATGTTCAGGGCTCCTAGATTATCATATATAATCGATTCACTTGTTTTTTCGGGTCTTTGTTGTAAGAGGGACAACAGGATGTGTCTGACTACTGTGCCATCTTGTCCCTGCCTCCAGATTATTTGTCTTTTTTTAATTAAGCTCTCAAAGTTTTATGTATATTTTGTTCATTTGATTCGTGTCGGATATATGGTTTCCAAAGATATTTTCCCAGTCGGTAGCTTGTCTTTTCACTTTTTTGGTAGTCTTTTGGTGAACATAAGTTTTAAATTTTTATGAGGTCCTGTTTTTTTATTTTGTCTTTTACTGTTTTTGCTCTTGTTATTATGTTAGATAATCCATTGTTAAAAGCTAGGCCTGACAGCATTGCCCCTGCTTGTTCTAAGAATTTTATGGTTTTAGTTTGCACATTTACGTCCTTAATCCATTTTGAATTTTTTTTTCTGTATAGAGTGAGGCGTGGATCCTGTTTCATTTTTCTGCATGTGGAAATCCAATTTTCCCAGCACCATTCATTGAAGAGACTCTTCTTTCCCCATCGAATGAACTTAGCACCCTTGTCAAAAATCAGCTGACCATAGATACGTGGGTTTGACTAATTCCTTTTGACAGCTGTTTAGTGTTTCATGATACATATGTGCTATATGTATTTAACCAGTCCTGAATGATGGACATTTAGGTTGCTTCTGATATTTGCCATCAGAAACAATAATGCAGTGTGTTTCTTGTACGTAGGTAATTTTCTACAAGTTCAAGTATAACCAAATTCCTAGAAATTTGAAATTCCTAGGAGAATTTGAAACTACTAGGTCAAACAGATTGTGCATTTGTAGTTGTAATGTATTGCAAAATTGCTTTCCATACTGCCTGTTTTCCTGTGCCCCACCCAACACAGTGAGTTTTGATGGTGACACATCTGGAAGGTGAAAATGGCATCTCGTTGAGGCTTTACAAATGTTTGAGCCGTTTGCATTTCCCTTTCTAAAAACTGTTTAACCCATTTTTCTCTTGTGTCCCGGGCCTTATTTAGCTGTGGGAGCTGTTGATATATTAAGCAAATTAGCCTTTTGTCTGGTGTGAGTTCCAGATACCCGCCTCCCCCAGTTTGTTGTTTCCCTTTCAGCTTGGCTTTTGGTAGTTATTACCATAAATTTTTCTTTAAATTTATCAGGGGTGTGTGTGTGTGTGTGCATGGCTTCTGAATTTCATGTCATACTTAGAAAAGACCTCCCCTACTTCATGATTGTTTAAAAAGCTCTTCCATATTTTTCTTCTAGCACTTGTAGGTTTCATTTTTTCTATTTAAATCTTTCAATCATTAGTATGTATTTTGGGTAAGGTATGAAGTATGGATCAACCATTTTTTTCCCCTAGTTGTCCCAGTGCCATGCATTGAACAATTCATCTTCCCTCAGTGATTCAAAATGCCATTAGGTGTCTTATGTGTGGGTCTTGTCTACCCAGCTAGGTCATAAACTTTTTAAAAGCAACAATTGGATATTATCCTGTCTTATATCTTCCCATAAAGCTGAGCATAATATTCTTCATAAAATAAATATGAATTTTTTTACATTTTTTATATTGAGAATTCTATATATTAGAAAGTATACAAAGCATTCACATACAGTTTAATGAAAACTTGTTAAATGAACACCTTTGTAACCACCACCTAGATCAAGAAATAGGCTATTTCCAGCTCCCTAGAGTCCCCTGTGCCCCTTCCCAATCACATTCTTCTCCCATCCCCCAGAGGTAACCACTATCCTGACTTTTGTGATAATTATTTCCTTTTCTTTTTATTGATTTCTTCCTTGCATATGAAATTGCCGTCTTTGTAGGTCAGAAATCATTGAGTAGCTGCAGTGTCATATGGTTCACCCTAGTAATTTTACCACCTGTGTATGGATCTCTAAGCAGTACAGTTTTTAGTCTGTTTTTGAATATTACTTAAATGGAGTCGTCCTGTATGTGTTCTTCTGTGTCGTTCTTTCATTCAGTTGTTGATGTTGTGGGATTCAACCATGTTGTTGCCAGCTGTTGATTCTCATTGCTGGATCTATTCCATCTACTACATTTTATTTATCCATTCTACTGTTGCTGGACTATGGATTGTTTCCAGTTTTGACTATTGCAAACACTGCTGCTTTGAAAATCCTTGTACATGTGTGTTGATGCATGTGACCAGGATTTCATCTAGGACAGGGATTGGCAAATTATGGCCTGCCGACTGGTTTGTTATTATCTTTAAAATTTTGTGTTTTCGCTGAAAATTACACAGCAAATTAGGATCCCACTTAACAGTTTCTACACAATTTGTTCAGTGACATTGGTTACATTTTTCACTGTGTCAGCTTTCTCATTATTTCCACTCTGGTTGTTACATTTCCAGCAATCTAGTTTCCTAGCCCCCTTGCCTTCTTGTTTTTAGTTCTGAGTATATGTTGACAATTTGGTCTCATATACATGGTTTTTTAAAGGACCACAGTACTCACTGATGTTATTGTTTGTTTTATGTGCCAATCTATTATTTAGCTAAAAGATAACCTCATGGAATAGTTTTGGTTCAAGGTTTAACAAGTATCTCAGGGTGATAATCTTGGGGAGTCCTGCAGTCTCAACTAGTCCAGTAGGCCTAGACTTTTTAAGAATTTAAGTTCTGTTCCACATTTTGTTCTCTTTCTATCAGGATCCATCTATTGTGTTCCTGATAAGAACAGTCCGTAGTGGTAGCTGGGCACCACCTAGTTCTTCTGGTCTCAGGGTAGATGAGGCTGTGTTTTGTGTAGACTTAATAGTCCTATAGACTAGTTTCTTCTCTGAGTCTTTGGTTTTCTTCATTTTCTTTTTCTCTGGATGCGTAGAGACCAATCATTGTATCTTAGATGGCTACTCACAAGCTTCTAAGACTCCAGGTGCTACTCACCAAACTCGGATGTAGAACATAAACTTTATGTACTATATTATGCCAGTTGATTGAGTTGTCCCATGAGACTGTGGCCCTAAAAGCCTTCAGACCCCGTAAACCAATCCTGTGAGGTGTTTGGTTAAGTCTAAGAAGTGTCTGTGTTTGTGACCTCTGAGTACTTTATTGTATATATGAGTATATGTGGATGCATACACCTGCTGCCAGTTTTTGTAAATAAAGTTGTGTTGTTTACATATTGTCTTTGGCTGCTTTCATGCTACAAGGGTAGAATTGAGTAGTCATGGCAGAGATTGTATGGCCTGCCAAACCTAAGATATTTACTACCTGGCCCTTTATAGAAAAAGTTTGCTGACTCCTGGTCTAGAGTATGGACCTAGAAATGGAATTGTTGGATCATAGAGTATGTGAATCTTTAGCTTTACTAGATAAGGGTAAGCTAAATTCGAAAATGGTTAGACCACAGCCTTGACAACACTTGGTTTTATCAGATTTTTACATTTTTGCCAATTAGGTCAGTGTGTAATGGTATTTCATTGTAGTTTCAATTTGTATTTTCTGATTTCTGATGAGGTTGAACATATTTTTTTGCACGTTTTAGGCCATTTGGATTTCCTGTTTTGTAATATGCCCATTTATTTTCCTATTGGTGGTTTGCCTTTGTAAATTAATGCTGATTAGTTGATATCTCCAAATAATGTTTACACTTTGTGTTTCTGCAGAACAAATAGTGGAGAAAGATGAAGGTCCATATTATACTCACCTGGGATCTGGCCCCACTGTAGCCTCTATCCGGGAACTCATGGAGGAGCGGTGAGTAATGCACAGATGCCCAAGGAGAAATACAGATTTTAAGCACCTCTCATTTTCTTTGCCTTGTACTAGGCAACATACAGAAAGAAAGCCCTGATATCCAGATTATAGAAAGTTGAGTCTGGGGTTCTTACCTCCAGGGTTTCTGGATTTCTTTTAATCTAAAGGTCCACCTTTCATCTATCCATCTGTCTCTCTTTTTCTTGAAATGTTTTTATTTCAAGAATGGTTGTTTGTCCTATTGTTTCCCACAGTCTAAATTGTGGTTTCATGTGGTGGTGTTTAACATGTTCTTCTGCCCTCTGTTTGTCCTGTAAATTGGAGTTAGATCTAGATCTAGAGGTTTGTTCAGAGTTAAGTTGTTTTCTCTCTCTCTCTCTTTTTTCCCCTCTCAAAACGACTTCACAGGTGGTATTTTGTACCTCCATTAGGAGGTATGTAATGTCTCATCTTAGGCTGGTGGGAGCCTGTTCAGGTTGTCTCCTGAGTCCTTTTGACGGGATCCTAGGAACCTTAGCTTTCTTGATTTCTCAAATGGCACAGTGCTCCAGGCTCACGTTGTACAGTTGTCTGAGAAGTTCCGGCTCCTTTTATTGGCGGAAAAAGTATTTAGAAAACAATCTAGGTACTATGGGTACTTGTTGCTACTGATTTTTTTGTTATTACTTAGTGATTGAATACATCGTAAGTTTATACTGACATTTCTAATTCAAGTTTAGACTATAGGGTTTTTGCTTAACGCTTCTGTTTGTAGTTTTTTTTTTGTTTTTTTTAAGTAGTTTGTGTAGATAGAGACTTTAAAATCTATGTACATGTCCATATCAGATAGAAATACTATGAGTTCCAATATATAGGGAGGTAATATACTAGGGGAGGAGCTCTGGTGATGCAGTGGTTAAAGCGCTCCGCTGCTAACTGAAAGGTTGGTGGTTCGAACCCACCTGCCACTCTGAGGGAGAAAGATATGGTAGTATGCATCTGTAAAGATTATAGCCTTGGAAAGCCTAGGGGGCAGTTTTACTCTGTCCTTTAGGGTCGCTATGAGTCAGAATCGGCTCAACAGCAGTGGGTCGGGTTTGGTTTTAATATACTGGGTGGTTAAGAGCATGGACGCTAACTAGAGCTAACCTAAGGTCAAATCCTGGCCCTGCCGTTTACTGCTGTACTTCTCTGTGATTCAGTTTTCTTATCTGTAAAAGGGAAAGAATGATAAAAGTACACATCTTACAGGAGGAGTGTTATGAAAATAAACTGAATTGATGTCGTAAAGGTCTTTAGTGCCTGGTGCACAGTAAGTAAAGAGTGGACAGTCATTGTCTGCCTCATATACACGTATGTGTTGATTGCATCCTTTGACAAGCGTATTTTAAGAGTCAAGGCAAAGATTATGTAGACATAAACATATTTTACAAATGTATGCAAGGCTGAGTGGTTTAGAGTTTCTGCAAATTTGGGAACCAGATTTTGTGTGACCAAGGGAGCTAAATTAATCTTGTCATTAACATTGCAGGGAGCATGGGTTTGAACTGAATAACTGTAACAGTTTCCCTGAATTAATAAAAGGTAGGATGGATGGAGGGCAGTGGTCTGCTGTAATCACTCTTAATCATCTTATACCATCTGGAAACATTTATATTCAAAGTAGCCCCTCAGAAATGCATTTGATCAAAGACCCAATCTGAAGTTCAAGCCTGATTTAAAGGGCACTTCTGATTCTAGGAGAATGAAATAGCTCTAAAACAGTGTGTGTTGTACATGTGCGCCGCATGTGCCCATGCACTGCAGTTTCAAGGCTGGGCCAGGCATCGTTTTATCTGGTGATTTTTGTAAGGAATCTTGACACTATCCTTAGGGAATCTTGACTCTGTTCTTTCCCGGCTGAGGGCTGCAGGAAAGTGAAACGTAGAAGTTTCGTCTGGGACAGTTTTTTTTTTGGAAACAATTTTACAAGATTTCCAGACAGCTCCTATCTTAGTTATCTAGTGCTGCTGTAACAGAAATGCAAGTGGGTGGCTTTAACAAACTAATTTATTTTCTCACTATTTACAAGGCTGGAAGTCTGACTTCAGGGCACCGGCTCTAAGGAAAGGGCCTCTCTCCTGCTGTCTCCTCTGGGGGAGAATCCTTGTCTCTGCTTCTTTATCCTTGCCTCAGCTTCTCTAGCATTCTTCTCAGAGTTCCTTGGAGATTTCCATGTGGCATGTATCTTTCCCCCATTTGTGCTTCCTTGATTCTGTGTCTAACCTGTTCTTTTTATATCTTGAAAGTGATTGGCTTAAGACACACCCAACACTGATATGACCTCATTAACATAACAGAGAAACCCCTATTCCCAAATGGGATGACATCTACAGGTTAAATGTTTACCACACATATTTTACGGGGCATAAATCCATAACAACTCCCTTAAATAACTTTTAGTTATAGAAGAAGATGTTTTGAAATGAGGTTTAATCAAGAGATAGTGATAAAGTTTAGATTCATCCCGTTTTTTTTCACTGCTTTAAAAATAGCAGCCAACTGTAGATTCTTCAGAAACTGATCCAAGGGAGGAATTCTCTGCAGACTCAGGAATACTTACGTTTTTCCTCAGCAACTGGTAGATTTTTATCTTAAGGACCTTGTAAATCATGTAGCAGATTGCGCTTCCATCTTTATGTTGGCTGCTAGTATGCTTAGAGCCAGATTTGTGTACCTCCATCAGGAAGAATGTAAGGTCTCATCTTTGGCCAGTGAGAGCCTGTTCAGGTTCACACCCAAGTCCTCTTGACATGACCCTAAGGGGTCTTTTACAGCTTCCTTGATTTCCCATATGACAAGATATCTGGGCTCATCTCTCAAAAATACACACAAGCCCCTGCTATTTGTATTTTGTGTACTAATATCATGTCTGTCTTTTTCCCCTTTACTGTGACTTCATTGCCTGTTATTTTCATCTTATGTATGTCTTTTTAAAATCTTTTCTGGAACAAGGAGGGGAATGAATGATTGGTGTACATCATCTGGCTGATGGTCTAGTTTGTGAATGGTCCAGGCTGCCTCTTTCCTAGATTTTTCTCTGTAGGAGCACTCTAATGCCAGGAGTTGGTCAAAGGCAGGGAGGGGAAGTAAACAGAAATCAAGGAGATGTTGGTCCTTTTAGCTTCTCTGTTAAAGATTTGGAGAAAGTATGGGAAGGTAGAAAGCAGATCTTAAAATACTATTCCAACTTATTTATGGTTTTCAAGCCTCCTTAATAAGATCTTTATTTTTTTTTTAACATAAAATATATATATAACATAACATCTGTTGTCTTTGGCTGGGTTCCCAAGAGAAGCAAAACCAGTGAAGCAAATATATGTATATACAAAGAGAGATTTAGCTCAGAGAAATGGCTCATGTGGTTGTAGACGCTGGCAAGTCCCAAGTCCGTGGGTCACGTGTCAGGCTGGAGGCTTGTTCTGACTCACATAGCTGCAGAGGCTGACGAATCCAAGGCAGGCTGCTAGCTCAGGTCCCAAGAACCAAAGGTCAGATGATGATGAGCCAGATGGAGGATCCAGAACAAGCAAGTGAGCTTTGCCAGAATGTCCATATATATTGGATGCAGGCCACACTCCTGAGGAAACTCACCTTACAACTGATTGGCTGATCACATCAGCTCACATCATGGAGGATGACTACATCATTACATAACTGCCAAATTACATCATTACATAACTGCCAAACCACTGAGAATCATGTCCCAGACAAGTTGACACACAACCTTAACCATCACATTTGCTGATTCAACGTTTTTCAGGTGTACAATTTAGTGATTTAATTACATTAATCATGTTGTGCAACCACCGCTCATAATCATTGCCAGATTTCCCATCACCATAAACAAATACTGCCTCCTAAACAATGACTCCCCCTTTCCCCCTCCCTCTCACCCCTGGTATCCGCTAATAAACTTTGGTCTGTATGCATTTGCCTATTCTTGTTATTTCATATAAGTGAGGTCATACCATATTTGTCCTTTTGTGACTGACTTATTTCACTGAGCATAAGATTTTGAGGTTCATCCACGTTGTAGCGTGGATTAGGACTTCATTTCTCTTCATGGCTGAGTAGTACTCTATTGTATGTATGTACCACAATAAAGTCCTTATTGTTGATACTCCTTATTGGAGTCCGTTGGAAAGCCCGTATCTGAGAATGGTGTGCTGCACAGAGCTATATATCCTCTAGCGGGGGAGGAGGTTCTCTGCAGCCTAGAACACTTTGACCCATGGTGACCTTATGTACAACAGAATGAAACATTGCCTAGACCTGCATCATCCTCAGCAACTGCAGCGTGTTTGAGTTCATCATTGAAGCTGTTGTGCCAATCTGTCTCACCAAGGGTCTCCCTTACCCTTGCTGGCCCTCTACTCAACCAAACATGATGTCCTTCTCTAGCAGTTAATCCCTCCTGATGATGTGTCCAAAGCAAGCTAGTCAGACAAGGTTCTCTTGTGATCCATGGGGTTTTCATTGTCTGATTTTTGGAAGTAGATCACCAGACCTTTCTTCCTAGTTCATCTTAGTCTGAAAGCTCCACTGAAACCTGTCCACCATGGGTGACACTGCTGGTATTTGAAATACTGGTGACATAGCTCCCAGCATCACAGCAACCGTCTAGCCACCACAGTATGACAAACAGATAGATGGTGGAGCCTAGGAGTTAGGTGTTCATTACGTGCTTATTCTAGAAACGAGGAACCAACACCGTGCTAGCAAGTCCTCTGAGCTTTGGGAGATCTGGTGTCATTGCTGTGTGGTAGAGATAATCCTGAAGAAGCACAACTTTAGATGAGCTGTTCTCAAACTTGAGCATGCTTCAGATTCACTTGGAGAACTTGTCAAAGTAGATTGCTGGGCCCCACCCCAGAGTTTCTGGTCCAGCAGGTTTGCATTCCTACCAGCTTCCCAGAGGATACTAATGCTGCTCATCCTGAGACCACCCTTGGAGAACCAGTGGCTGATGTTGCCAGGTTACCTTTTAGAATAAGATTTCAGCCTCTCCTTCCAGACTTAGTTTAGTGTCTAGGATACTATCTAGGGTTTAGATACTAGAAGGAACATTTAATGGTAGGCCAGTAGTAAGACAATTAAGGAGAAAGAACAAGAACTAAGGCGAGGATTTTGCTGTTTGGTTGGTTGCCTTTAAAAGCAAAGCGACAGTTTTGGTTTTTTAAAAAAATCTAGTTGATCAGACCGTGCTTGGCCCTTTGATTTGCTCTCTAATATGAAGTCTGAAGTTCAGTGCAGTAAGCATTTCTCACAATGGCAGGATGGTGGGGAAGGTCCTGGTTACAGCTCCTGAGCCAGTGTCCTCAGCTCACCCTCCTGTGGGCAATGTGATATCCCTTCCACTGGCGGTGAGAGCAGTGCAGGCACCTCGGCTCTGCTTCCATCCCAGGACACGTGGTATGCCCAGGCCCCGCACTGCGGGCAGCTTCCTGATAAATGCTTGCTGGATTCAAAGTTTCCCAGGAGGTAGACAGAGGCAGCACTATCTGGTTTTTTCCTTTTGATCCATACCACACTGTGTAAACTCCCCAGAGTCCTGTCTTCCAAACACTTTCTATAAGAGACTAACATAGCCTTAGAGTTTTAACTTTGTAATTGTCAGAAACACTTTTCCCCTTCCCTAAGATCTTGAGTTACCTAGAGAACATGGAACCCAGAGAAACCTTAAGTCAGCATTTTTTAAAAAATCTTTATTCTTTTTTAATTATAAAAATAAAACATGTCTATAAAATAAGGCTTGTTTAAAACTCAATTAAGGGTGATAAATCTCTCCACCAATTATTCTTCCCAGAAGGAACACTTTTGTTTAAGTTTGATGCTTAGCTTTCTACTTTTCCTAAGCATTTACAGAGATACACATAAGTTCATGGAGAAATTTTAAACCAAATGGGCTCAACCGTAATATACCCACTGTTTGCAGCTTGCTTTTTCTCCCACTTCAGTTATTTCCATGTCAGTATATAGAGTTCTGTCCCGTCATTTTTGATGGCTACATAGTTTTCCATTTATGGCCATACACATTTTATCAAGCCATGCACATACTGGACATTTCAGTTGTTTGTAGTTTTGTTGTTGTTGTTGTTGATGCAACAATGAATATCTTGTTCCTAAATCTTGGTGCATTTATATAGTATTTCTGAGGCAGAGATTCCTAGACGTGGAGTGGAAGAGAGATAGGATATGTGTATTTTAAACTGTAATAAACCAAACCAAACCCATTGTCATCGAATCGATTCTGACTCATAGTGACCCTACAGGACAGAGCAGAATTGCCCCATTGAGTTTCCTAGGCTGTAATCTTTACAGGAGCAGACTGCCTGCCGCATCTTTCTCCTGCAGAGCAGCTGGTGGGTTGGAACCGCCAACCTTTTGGTTAGCAGCTGAGCACTTAACCACTGTGCCACCAGGACTTCTTTTAAACTGTAGATTGTTGTTGTTAGGTGCCATTGAGTCGGTTCTGACTCATAGTGACCCTGTAGGACAGAGTAGAACTGCCCTGTAGGGTTTTCAAGGAGCAGCTGGTGGATTTGAACTGCTGACCTTTTGGTTAGCGGCCAAGCTCTTAACCATTACGCAACCAGGGCTCTGAACTGTGATAGCTGTGATCAAATTACCCTCTATAAAATAGTTTATTAAAATAATATGCCATGACAAAATAATATACACCATATTAATCGATCAAAGGAGAAGAATCATTTAGTCATCTCTTAGGTATTGATGACACATTTGATAAAAGCAGTCAATTCTTAATTTAAAACCCTTAGAACAAGAGACCCTTAGTAGAGACTTCAAAGTAAAGAAGTCTCTGTCTCTACCCAAAAATCAGCCGGCCCTGTGCTCAGTGATGACTTGTTGGAAACGTTTCCAGTAAAGTCAGGAAGTAAGCAAAATGCCTGCTAGCACTTTGAGAGGACTGGCCAGTACGGAGACAAGAGACTAAAGTAGAGGTATAAATAGTGGAAAAGAGGTGGTGGCAAATTACTGATATTTACAGATGACACAGTATTGTACTTGAAACCAAAAGTTGTTAAAAATAAGACGATTCACTGGGGTCTTAAAAGCTAGTGAGCAGCCATCTAAGATGCATCAATTGGTCTCAACCCATCTGGAGCAAAGGAGAATGAAGAACACCAAAGATACAAGGAAAGTATTAGCCCAAGAGACAGAAAGGGCCACATAAACCAGAGACTTCAACAGCGTCAGACCAGAAGAACTAGATGGTGCCTGGCTACCACCAATGACCACCCTGACAAGGAACACAACAGAGTCCCTGACGGAGCAGGAGAAAAGTGGGGTGCAGAACTCAAATTCTAGTAAAAAGAACAGACTCAATGGTTTGACTGAGACTGGAGGGACCTGGGAAGACATGGTCCCCGGACTCTCTGTTAGCCCAAAACTAAAACCATTCCCGAGGCCAACTCTTCAGACAAAGACTGGACTGTAGGGCGTAAAATGATACTCATGAAGATTGTGCTTCTTAGCTCAAGTAGATACTTGAGACTAAATGAGCAGCTCCTGTCCGGAGGCAAGAAGAGAAGGCAGAGAGGGTCAGGAGCTGGTTGAATGGACACTGGGAATTGGGGTGGGAAGAAGGAGTGTGTTGTCACAGTATAGGGAGAGCAACTAGGGTCACAGAACAATGTATGTATAAATTTTTGTATGAGAGACTAACTTAAATTGTAAACTTTCACTTAAAGCACAATAAAAAAATAATAAAAGGAATTCTGTGAAAAAAATGATTCTATAAGGCAAATGGTTTACATTACTGAGAATAATGATCTAAAAAAGAGAAAAGAAAAAGAATAATGAATATTTATTGGGCTCTCTCTTCCATACCAGCATTGTTGAAACACTTTAAATAATGTACTCCCTGTGCATCTCGTTTAATCTTTTACCAAACCTAGGAGGCAGGAAGTATTTTCACCCCCATTTTACAGATGAGGAAACTGAGGCTTAAAGTTCAGTAATTCAGCCACAGTCACATAGCAAGAAAGTGGTTGGGCTGGCTCTGTCTTATCTCCTGGGCCGTACTTGAACCAGGGTTGCCCCATATGGTTGTGTGGCCTTGGGCAAGTCAGTTAAACTCTGAAGACTGTAGCTTGATCACCTCTTAAACATGGTGTGATTTGATTAGATGGCCTCAGAGACCTGCAGCTCTGAAACTCTGAGTATGCACGTGTGGGGCAGGGGAGGGGTGTGGGTAGGAACCAGACATGCTTACTGTCCAGGGAATCCTTGCAGCCAGTATTTGGTGCCTGGTGGGGTCATTTTCCCCAAACCTCGATGTTTGTCCTCATCTTGTTTAAATGCCAGCTGGCAACCATTGAAAGGGAGCAATAAGGATTTCCTCATTTGTCTGTTTTTTGTTTGTTTATGAATTCAAAAATAGCTAACACTCAGGGTGACTCAGCTAACGTGGCTGGACACACGTGCCTACAGGTCACCTTTGGTTTCAGTACCTTTCTGGAGGCTCAAAGGTAGTTATCAAGGGCCTTCTGCTCAACTCCCTCCCTCCCCGCCGCTCCCTCCCCACCCTTGGACAGGTGGACTGGATGGACAGGAGCAGACAAGACAGGTGAACCAGAGGGCCAGGACCTCTAAGTGGCCACTCTGTCCCCAGAGCCTCCAAGCACAGAAGGAACATGTAAATCTTGCCCTTTCTTCTCTTTTGCTTCCGCAGTGACTACAGATCCCAGGTGATGCACACTGAGCTTTCCTTCTTACTGAAAGTTGTTCTCCCTTGGGACCCACTGTGCTAATGGTAGTCTCTGTCTCCTTCTCCAGGTATGGAGAGAAGGGGAAAGCCATCCGGATCGAGAAGGTCATCTACACGGGGAAGGAGGGGAAAAGCTCGCGTGGCTGCCCCATTGCAAAGTGGGTGAGTGTCGGGACCCCGCGGCCGAGGCTATGCTGCTCTCTCCTCTGCCCCCCTCAACTCCTGGGGCTGAGCTGCAGGCCAGGAAGGGGGTGTGCGTTTACTGTCCAGGGAGCGGGACCCTGGAAGCTGGCATTTGGTGCCTGGTGGTGTCATTTCCCTCCAGCCTCAGCTCTTTCTTCTTGTCTAGTCCAAATGTAACCTCCAACATCCTCATACTATCATACCACCCTGTGGTTCATGGCTGTGGGGTAGGAGAAGGAGAAGCTGAGATGCTGTCATTACCCAAGGTTGGGCCTGAATCCTTGGCCCCATGTGGGCCACTTGATTCCTCTTCCTCTTCGTGTGCCTGGAGCTGCCAGTGTTCCTGTCTTTTGCCTGGAAGCCAGGGGAGAAACGGAAGGCGGGCTTGCTGTGACCAGCCTGGGGGACGAGGCTGGGCTTCCGGCAAGGTTGGGGACCAGCCTGGCCGCTGCCTCACTTCTGAGCCACTATTTCCTACAAGGCAGCCCGAGTGCCTCAGGAGGGGGGACGTAAATGACCAAACAGAGTTCTGGGCTTGCCCTTCCTGTCCACAAAGAGACCTTAAATAGCTGAGCACCTGCTCTGCAGAGTAAACACTCCTGAGCAACAGAAGTTTATTGAGTACCCGTGTGCGCAGCACCGCACTGGGTGTGTAGCAGGGTAGTGTGCCTGGAATGGAAGGTTCTGTCCCTGCGGTCAGGCTGCTTATAACTTAGAGACCCATGAAATAAAATCATGCTAGGCTTGAGTAAGTGCGATTTAACTCTAAGAGACAGAGTTAGTGTTGTAGATCGGGACAAGGGGCATGAGTGGTGGGACGAATATTCAGGCTAGGTTTCCCAGAGAAGAGGGGCATGCACAGGGCCGTAAATATGGGTCATATTAAATGGGCTGAAGAGAAGGTAGAAGAAGTCCACGTGAGTGGAGTCATGTGGACAAAGGCAAAGAGTGAGGGAAGGTGGCAAGATGTCCTTGGTCAGCACATGGCCATCTGTGCACCTGCCCGTTTTTATCTGGCATATACCCCATGCCTCCGTGTCTTCGTGTTTAGTGAAAGTAAAAGGGGTCTGAACTTGAACTACCTCATATGTATTTCTAGCAGTTGATTGTAGAACTATATGTAACAACAGAACCTGGAACCACTTCGCACATTTTCAGGTGTGAAGAAGCCTCTTGTCCACACCCTTGTGAAAGACGGCCACTGCAGTGGGAGTTTGACTGTGTCTGTGATGTGGCTGATCAGGATGGGGTACTGTCTCCCCAGAGAACCCTTCAGGGAAATGACATCTGCCACAGAGTGGCAGCTGTCCCCTTTCTCCTGCTAATTCATACAGTCATTTAGAAATCTCAGTCTTGGTCAGGAAATTGAAGTCCTTTGGGGCTCACGTAAAGTTAGAGACGTTTCCAGCTAAAGTTAGAGACTTCAGATAAAGTTGGCACAATAAGGAAAGAGAATAGCTAGGTATGCGAGTGTGCATTTCCAGACCCTGGATACACATGGCAAGGCATTGACTCTTGACCAGGGCCTGTGTGTCCCTGCTGGGGGCTGGAAAGAGTTTGTTTGCCTGGAGACTGGCTGACCAGGAGGGGAGGAAGGCGGTGCCCAGGTAGAGCATGAGAGCAGCCCCGTGGCTGTGAGAGGGAAAGCGGTGAGGTTGGAGAGGAGCTTGGCCTCAGCATGCCAGCGTTGGTTCTGTGGACAAAGGCCCGGAGCACGTGCAGCACAGTGGACTTGCGATTAAGTCGCAGCGTGGCCATCACTGATCCCTGGTGGATGGTGCAGCTTTCAAAGAAAAGACCAGGTAGAAGGGGGTGTGTAGTGAGGTGTTCCCAGGAGATGAGGAAAGCATGTGTCTGATTAGTGGAGAGACAAGCAGAGAGGAAAAAAATTTTTTTATGGGAAGAACAAATGGGTAGTAGATCACAGACTATTAAACAGTGGCAAGAAGTGCCAGCGCTAAGCTCCATTGTTTTGTTTGTCTTGCCATCTGATTTAGTGTGGTGGACTTCTCTGCTTTTGTGGCTTACACAGTTGCAAAATACCCTATGTATTTTGGTGGGAAGGCTCTTCTAAAGAGTTCTGCCTCCTTTGGAAACTGGAGGAGGGGTGTGTATTCCCTCTCCTGCCCCCCTGGGGGAGTCACCTGCAAACGCCTGGGAGGACAGGTGTTCTTGGTGGCTGTGTGGTGTTGAGAGCCCAGGGCAATGGATATAGTGCTCTATGGCCACGGGCGAGTGGCAGCATCCAGCTGCCCGTGGTGGACGTCTCCGGTGGTTCTCCCTACCCCACCAGGTTCCATGTCTAGAGCCTGAGTTTTCTTTTCCAACCAGGGTTTATGTCTGTCTGCAGCCTAGACCCCTGACTGGTACCTTCAGCTGAAGGTAGAGTACCTGACAAGTTCTAGACTTGGCTAGCCAGGATCTTGGCACATCATGAGTGCCCAGTAACTGTGTGTTAAGAGGATGATCTAGGTAAGCAGTGAGGCGGCCCAGGGAGCTTCTGGTGACTCTGATTTTAAGGTGGCATGTACAAAATATGGAAGACATATCAAATAACCAAGCACGAGTAAGAGAGTGACCCAGATAGCATTAAGCAGGCTCGGAATAAAATAGAGGCATGCCGCAAGCAAACACTGCAAACAACAAAAATGGGCTTTTGGTAAGAACTTCAGGGATGCTGTTGGTCCAGTCTATAAAGTTAACAGAGGTCAGAAACACCAATCACAGCCTGCCCGACAGATTTTGATCTTGCCAGCCCCACGATCACATGAGCCAATTCCTTAATATAAATATAATATTAAAAAACAAACACCAGTTGCCATCAAGTTGACTCTGACTCATGGCGACCCCATGTGTGCCAGAGTAGAACTGTGCTCCATAGGGTTTTCAATGGATAATTTTTTGGAAGATTACAGGCTTTCCTTCTGAGGCATCTCTGGGTGGACTCAACCACCAGCCTTTTCGGTTAGTAGCCAAGCATGTTAACCATTTTCACCATCCAGGACTCCTAACAAAAGTCAGAGGTAGGTATTTGATGTGATGGTTAGTTTTATATGTCAGCCTGGCTAGGCCAGTTATTTAACCCAACACTAAGATTGCCAGGCCTTTCTTCTGCAGCACCACTGGAGTGGCAGATTTTTTTTTGGGGGGGGAGTTTTTTAAATAACATTTATTGATTGTCCATTTATTAGTTACACATACAATTTGAAATCATGCTTTAATACATGATGGGTTTTTTTTTTTTTTTAATTGTACTTCAGGTGAAGGCTTACAGAACAAATAGTTTCTCATGAAACAGAAGCACACATGTTGTTTTATGACATTGGTTAACAACCCCACAACAT